AACTAGACAAAATTTATTTACGATAGAGTTACCAAACGTTGAAACAAGCCCAAAATATTTTTGTATAAAATTCAGAGTGCTGAGAAAATATTTTTTAAATTGGTTTAGTAATATCGGAAGCTAAATCTATACTTTCATGATGTATATAATTATAGTATAAATATAATTAATATGAATCACTTGTCAAAACATGTCGATAGTACCTGAGCGACTGAAATTGTAACTTGAAAACTAAAATAAACTACGTGCGTAACCGGAAAATATCATAATAAAAAAAAAACACTAAACCCATTTTGAAAATGTCTGTGCTCTCTCAAAAATATATAAACAATTGCACCTGAATTAGAATTTATCAAATAGAGAATATATTTGTTTATAAACTTCCCAAAAATCTATAAAGTACAAATAACATGCTTACTAATCGAACCGGAACCATAAAAATCATTGAAGAGGACGTTCTGTAATAAAATTACTAAAATTTGTTCCGCTAACGTGAACCTTGATGTATGTTTTATCTTACACACTATCAATACATATGATAAGCATATATTCACAATAATATGTATTTAGCGTGTAGTATTGATAATATATATAAAGTACCAGGCTAACATAAAATTTTAAAGTATATGTTTCCAGTTACATGGCTAAATAGCTACACGCATTAGCATTCTTAAATGTATGGCATTTTCATATTTTAAACAAAAATATTGACCTTGGTTTTATTATTTAGTACCTAAAGGATGGCAACTGGGACCTAATTAATATACCTTCGTCATCCATCTGTCTAATACCGAAACGCTCGTTTTTTTTTTTCAGTAGTATCGATAATACTGGTAGCAAATCGGTGGTGGACAGTTATATGATTTTTTTTTTTTTAGTAGATCATTCTTTATTATTTTTAATCATTTTGAATTTTTATTGTTTTACGAAAATACCGTCAAGAAAAATAAATTCAAGTTTGCAATAAAAGAAAAAATGAAATCCGATTAGCACTTGGCCAATTTTTTGTCAATATAACGTAGTACAATATAATTATCTGGCAAGTACTTATTCTGTGATGACAAAGCACTAAAATAGTTGGGTATTTCCTGAGCAACTAACAAAGGAGTACAAGCAAAAACATTTTTTACAAGTTTTTTTAACGTTATCAGACTACCAATATAATTGAATAGTTATAGCCAAGAACAAAATCCTACGAAACAATTTTATTACATTATAAGTATACGCAATAATGAGCACTGCGATTCAATCCAATGTAAATCCTATTCGAATATATTTAAGAATCTGTTTTCATTGTGTGAAAATTAGTAAAGAATTTATTGTTGTGACGTAATCAAGCTACAAAATAATTAAGTATCCACGATGCGATACATTGTGTATCAAAGTAGATATTAACCTACAATTTTATTAATGGAAAGTGTATTTTTTCCTTGATACCCCTATTACATTAAAAACGGAAAGTTTTGATTGTCTGTTCGTTTGCATTGAATATACTCCGAAACTACTAAAAAATGAAATAAGAAGTCTTGTGACACCGTCAAAAACTTAAACGTGTTTTTGAAGTTACAGACCTATGTGTAAAGTATACCATTCATCCAAAAACAAAAATGGTCTATTAAAAAAAAAAATATACGAATCTAAAGAAAAGCATTTTTCGATAATTTATAATGACCAGACACCGCCTCTGATGCACAGATAATCTTCACGAATATGTAATAAAATTATAAGAATAATTCGTAATTTTCCGAATTTTCGTTTTTGTGTTCTTATTATATTAAATGTTTAAGTAAAAGGTTGAGATATGAATAAGATATTTAAGAAATTAACATTAAATCACTATAATAAGAAACCTACCTCTGCTAATTAAATTTCCTGCACATAAAACACATTATGCATGAAACAGATTTGCTGATAGGAGTTCTAGGAAGTAAGATCATTTTATACAGAAAAAGTTTATTTACTTGCAACGTACTGAATGTTCAGCCACAGAGCAAAAATATATTATACAACATCCATCCACATTACTTATATAATAAAAGAAGTTCCTAATTATTCCTACGTCTTTTTTTCTTTTTATTTTAACACAGTCATACTGAATATTGATAAAAAATATGCTCTGTAGTAGCGAAAATGGAAATAGTGCTTGAGAAATACGTCAGTCCTGTTAGGTCCTGGGTAGTTCAGTGATTAAAACGGTCGCCCGGATTGCGAAAGGTTATGGGTTCGAGTCCCATTTCAGTGTGCCTGGGACGAGGTGGATTTTTAGGCATTTTTCATTAAGTATATTTTACAGCATAGCATTGATGCAAAATTGATAAAATATATGAAACGGTCATACTAATTATCCATCATATTACTTTTAACAATAAATATTATAGTAGATTGTAGACAACGAATGTCCATCTTATCTACTCAAAAACAGGTAAAATATTACACATATAAAAATTTTTCATCTCTGTTTTTCCGTTATGTGAAATAATATATATTTCTCGGGTTTACCTAGGTTTATTTATTTATGAAGTTATACTACTCGTAATATCGTGGTTTAAAAAAAAAATATGGCCAAGAGCGAATCGGCATCATATGCAGAGGGTTCCTTATTTATTTTTTAAATAGATATCTTATTTCAAAATTTTAGGTCTACTGTTGAAGGTCAGGTGTTTCCTTAATTTCTAATTTAATGCGTTTAGTAGTTTAGAAGAACAGACCGACTGTCATAATAATCTTATAAAAGTACAGTTATCCATTTTTGGTACATAACCCCAAAAACAAATTGCTAAATTCAACAGTCAACCTCATATTAAATATATTAATAATTATCGATTATACATCGATAATCTAAAAAAAGAACAATTTCCACAATAAAATAATCGTAAGTTAACATATCGTGTAACAGTTATCATTGGTATGCCTACCGTCGGTAAATCTACACCTACAAATACAAACGCAACATGATTGTGTAATAAATCTCTTGGTTATCGAATTACGCGCGAGTTTACGATCTGCGTGTAATATACATTACCCACACACGATATACTTCCAGAGCGTGGTCTGAGATATGACTGTATGTGATGACAGATATAAATTCAATCGGGTTTCTTACAGATCTTACCGCAAGCGACGCGCTCTAACCAACAAAAAAGGTTACCTATTTACCCGACTGCGCGACGCAAAGGAGGGTAATGCATTTATCAGTGTATGTATGTATGTTTGTTTGTATGTGGCGTTCTAGAGACCAAATGCGTAGGCCGATTTTGATGATTCTTACGTCAATCGATGCGCCTTAACCTTGCGAGTGTCACTAAAGACATAACATTAATCAAAATTCACCACAGCGACAACCAGACGCCATATTGTCAAAATGAAAAAAAATCGATGAACTATGTCAAGTGAGGTGTCGTTGAATAGGTATTTTAAAACAATCTTCAGGTTTCTTTTATCATTTTTTATTTTAAATAATAGTTTAAGATATATAACGATTTAAAATTTTTAGGATATATAACGAATTGTTAAAACAAATGATATTAACTCCCTCAATGAAATGCTAGATTGCGAAATTAACCATCTTATAACGAAGTCAACGAATCGTAACTAAAAACTATAAAATAAAAATAAATAATTTAAAGAAAAACAAAAAGCCTGACTGCGGTAAAAACAAATTTTAAAAAATACATGAAAAAAATTAACTTGAATAAAAACTAAAAACAAAGAAACAAGCCCAATAGTTTCAAATGTTACCAATCGAATCTTCCCAAGGGGCCCCGACTATGAGTCGTTCTGTTCTGCATTAGAATTTATGATTTCTTTTATGTTTGTATCGAATATAAAACTATTTCAGTTGTGTAGTTATTTAGTATTACTTAACAGAATTCTAAACTACTGGGCTTTTTTCTTTCTTTTTAGTTTTTATTTAATGTTATTTTTTTAATGTATATTTTAAAATTCGTTTTTACGCAGTCGGATTTTTGTTTTTTTAAGTAAAAGATAATACCATCAGAAGTTATGCCCACGGTAATATAAGTAACTAGCTTTTTGCTAATATGTTCCCTAGACATCGACTATAAGTATTAAAAAATATTATCTAGCTTCCTGCCAAATAAAAGACTTCTGAAAAATTCAGCTGCGCTAATCTGTTAAAAATTCAGCATCCAATATAGCGCACCAAATAAAACTTACTTCCAAAGGTATTCAAAGTTTTATTTGATTGAAATTCTAATGCTGTATACGCATCAAACACAGTGACTCTGTAATGTAACAGAATACCATAACAACTCCATATTTCTTGGCATGCCGTATACCCGATAACGAAATACAAAAGAAAATATTACTTTATATCTGTACGTCCATGCGTCCATGTAACGTGTGTATGTAAATATTTCTTTATTATTCACTGACCCGATAGATATTGTTATAATACATAAGAGAGGAGTATATCATATATGAATATATGTCAACATTTCAATACTCGTAACGACACATTTTATACCAAGATTTTTAAGAGAGTTTCATATACCGTATGTTCCAAAGCATGTACTTCACATACTCAAACACTTTCGCCAAAACTGTTATATAATCTTTTGTTATAAGTATTTAAATCTCTTATAAATCTCAGATCATTTCATTTCGTCTCTGGTAATGTTACTTAAAGTCTTGATCACACATATCAACATAAAGGTGTAGTGGCGTAGTGGATAAGCACTGCGTCCGGCGAACGTCGCTATTAAGCAACTTTGGCAAGGATCGGTCACAGGATTGGTGACTAAAAATTTTTTATCTCGTGCTACCCCGTATTTCGGAAGGAACGTCAAGCCGTTGGTACCGACTGCATTTGCAGTCGTTAATACTCTCCAATCCGCATTGGGCCAACGTGGACGACTGATCCTCCTTAACAGTACATAAAGGAGGCCTGAGCCCCTGCAGTGGGGACAGTGAAAGGCTGATGATAATGAACGTAATGGTAAGATAAAGCACTTTAGACTTTTCAAATAGTAACATCTTACCTTGCGCCTACGATGACCTGATCTCTGGCTACATCGAACAGTAATTGTGAAAACGCTCTACTGCTGTTATCTCGGAAAATGTCACTATTCGATGACAGCAGATCTAGAAACAAAAATAAATAATAATTTAAATTGAAGTTTCATTTCACTAAATAAACTTTGCCTTCTTCTAGAAACTCTTCCAAGATTCATCTATAACTTTTTATTTACATGTATGTGTGCTAGGAGCATAGGTCAACAAATATTTGTTTAGTCTTCGTGTCATGAAATAATATGACAACTCGTTACGGCATAGATAAAATCTTGGCAACATCAGCAACAGGTAATTTATTATTTACAGTGTATTAATAAAATCGCAACCTATGGAGCACTCATGGTGGCCAAAAGGAAAAACATTGTAAGCTTTGTCCTCTGTCATTCCATATTATTTAATTGTAGTTCTTTCCACTGAATTGACGTGAAAATTGTTTATTTATTATTCATGATTTTATGATATAATTTTTTTTTTATTAAGTTAATACTAAATCATATTTTGTATATGAATCGATAAAACAATAAATAAACTGTGCTGAAATATATTTATGAATTTTCTTAATGGTAATTTTTTTTTTTATCAAACGAACATCATTTTACATATATTTTAAAGTAAAATAACATCATGATTTATTACCTTTGGTATTATTATCATTATTTGTACAAGTATTTTCTAAATACAATGACCAAAAATAATATTTATGTTTTCTTTATCACTTAGGTACTGTAGTCGTGCTGTATTTAGCTGCAATCGAGCTATTAAAATAAAAAATTAGTCATGATTATGAGTTCCAACGGAAATTAATTACCTAGGTACTACATACGCATTGCAAAGTTTGACAGATTTTATTTGATATTATGATTGATACACAAACCTGCTCCTCAGAATAATACTTATTTTAATCTTGATACACACAAACCTGCTCCTCAGAATAAAACTTATTTTTATCTAAAAATCATTTCATTTTACAGTAAAATTGTAACTAGAAATGCTACACAAATTCCGACATAACCAAAATAAAACAGATTTTTTAAATAAAATTTAGTTACCTCATTTAATTTGAATGATTAAAAATAATTTTGTAACCCTCAGACCACCTACAGTATCGCAATAGTTCTGTGATATAAAATAGTACATATTTTTTTTATTTTAATAGCACGTTTTAATTTCAAAGTGTCAAAGTTGCCACAGTTGAGGACGCTAGGTGTCGCTGAAGTAGTGCACATAGCAAATAAACAATTAATAAATGATTATGAATTTAATTGTAAGAAAAAATATTTTAAAAAACAAAAGAAAAAGGCTGTCTTGGAAATAATTTCAAAATCTAGATATCCAACTCTAAAAAGGTTGGTATAAGCTGTTTGTTTTATAAATTTTAAAAGTCGAATAGCAATATTCGTTGTCTTTGCAGTCGTTTGTTTTATCGGTCAGATATATATAAACTTCTTGGTTAAATCACATATTAAAGATTCAAATATTTGGATCATCCAACGACTTCTAATTATCGACACTCAATTATAAAGCTTCGTTACTTTGTTAATAAAAGAATAAACAAAATGAATCTTTTATCTATCGATTTTTCTAGTTTTATGGACTAAGATAATAAAAAATGCAGGAATTTTGCTTATTTACACTGATCATGGGTATAATTGAAAATTTTAAAAAGATATATCCATTTCTTAACTTTCTTGATAAATTAAATTTAATTAATATTATTAACATTTTATGTTCATATAGTTTTAAAACAGCCAAGAGCGGTGCCGTATATTTATCCATAGAAAAAAAGTTAAATTTGTTGTGCGGAAGCCCCCTTAAGTATCTGTATTATTATATTTTTTATTGTTTGTAGTTTAAACGAGAACAGAAATATTTTATCTGTGATTTCAACTATCTAGCTATTGCGGAACATGAGATACAACCTCGTGACAAATGGACAGACAGACAGATAGCGAAGTCTTAATATGGTCCCGTTTTACCCCTGAGTACGGAATCCTAAAAGCCACGTCTATGTTATTATTTTGTGGCACCAGAATCACAGTATTGCTTTTATAATAACTTGTATGACTTTAATCTACAAAGAGTATTTCTCCATTTGTTCAAACATAATATTTATTTTTGAACAAACACTTTTAAAACATTTAGCAAGATGAGTAAACAATTAGACCGAAGCAAAAGCATACGTAGATATATGCATAGTTTCGCAAACACATTGATTTTAATGGACTCCGAGAACCAAATATTTAATGCTTTTAGCGATTCTTAATTAATTCAGAAAAGGTGTTAGAAAAGTCGGCAATACAAACAGTTGTGTCGTGCTTTATATTAACTTCACCACGAGATTTTAAGTTAGAAAGAGATAGTAAACATTCGAGCAAAGTTGTTAAACAAACCACGATCTCCATAATAAGTACATATCGACGCTGGAAAGCAAACACGTAGTAACCCGCAAAACCAAAATGGATATTTAAAATGGATAATCTTTATATTTTTTCAAAAAACAATATCTTATTTCTGTCAAATTGACTAAGGAGCACCTTCTTTGTTACCATGGACGTTTATAGGAATTATTTATCGAATAAAATAAAAGTTTTTCTACTCTGAAGAACAATTTTGGTTTTGTGGGTTACTACGTGTTTGCTTTCTAGCGTCGATATGTGCATTCAACGGATTTTGTAGATATTTTATAATGTAAATAGAAAATTTAATCAATGAAAATGAAAGGATTGGGTTAGTTTTAATTAATATAATTTTGTATTAATCAATTTTCAAAATTATGGGGTAACTCGGTAATACGATCTTTTCTTTTCTTTTCGCTTTCGTGCGACTTAATTACACTTTGACGTCATAAGTGACTAATAGATATAGGCTATCCTTATCTAATAGAGATCAATGAATTATTTTTAATAATTATTTAGCTTATGTAAGATGTAGAACGTCAGTTGGCTGGTCATTATTGAACAAAAAATCTTTAAAAAAATTCTCAGCGACAATAGCGCCAAAAAACCTTTCATTCAGAAAAACTTTTCATCATTTATACAAGCCTCTCACAATTATATACGTCGTTAGAGTCCACTGCGTTATTTAACAAGAAAAAAGTGTCTTTTGTCCTTTTACTGCTTTCACTTCTTAGTAGAGATTGAAAAGTGCTTTCTATGAACGCTTTGCCGGTTGTCACGTATCAGTTTATTGACCGAAAATGCATCATTATAGAAATATGCAACACCCAATCAGTAGTGAAAATAATTGGTTACTATAAAATCCAAATGTCTGCAATCAGAAATCATTATTATAAATTTGACTACCTATACAGGTAGCTAAAAATACATTTAATACCCATATAAGTATTATATGTACTACTTATATTCTATTAAATGTATTTTTAGGGTTCTGTATCAAGGTATATTGAGATGAATGTAGGGTAATAAGTATTTTCAGTGCAAAAACTACTATGACCTCGTTGTAACTTAAGCTCGTGATAAAATAAGTCTTACAAAATTGCAATAAGGAAGGAAGGTAGTTTCCTAAATTGTAAGGATTCACATTAGCCAACCGAACCCTTAAATAGAAAAGGGTTTATTTAGACAAATTAGCATTTCACGTCAGAATGTACGTGTATATAAGACTCGTAATGAGCTGCAAGCTCAATAACTGCTTCGAAATCAGCATCGAACTCAGCGCTGTCAAAACATAAAGGTTCAATGGAAAAAAACCTTAAATACCTTTCATCAGTAATGAAGGCTTTATTAAGTAGGGTTCAGCTAATTGAACCTTTATGCTAAGACAGTCAACGTTGACAGGACGTTGAGTACGACACTGAATATTTATTGCAGAATAATACTGCAATTACATTTTGCCATTATAAAAATTGTCTTAAAAGTATGATTAAATTCGTTTGTTTGTGAACGTGTACGCGAACGAAATGCAATATGTAAAATAAAAACTTCTAATTAAGTTACACACTTATCAAACGGTATTTTATTATTTTCTATTCCTTAAGTTCCAATAGTTAAAGCTACGAATAACTACAAAACCAAGCACCGGCGATCGCAATCCGGCACACCCGTGTTTAATTATATGCCAACAAAACTTCACACCATTGACTAATTCTTTTTAATTTGGTTTTACTTAAAAAAATACATACCTTTTTTGTTTATTATCCGAAAGTCATCTTCAGGGAGTTGCCCTTTGCTGAGCAAGCTGAGCAGAAGAACCATAGGTACTACATATATTATGTAATACGCCATATTTCACTAGCATTCTGAAACAATACATAAAATCTAAATAGTCATCTAAATTTTTCCAGAATTTACCACATTAGAACATGGAGATCGTAATAACATCATTAAGCTTAAAATAAATGAAGATTCTAATCAAAAAATTATGCATTGATGTTGCTATAACCTTATACACTGCAATTACAAGCAATACTATGATACCAAATAAGGTATCTTGTAAATATATACTAGTTGTGCAGTTATTGAAATATTATGCGTAGAATATTCAGGTCAGAAGAAAGATGGAGGGCGAAGTTCCGTTGAAAGTTAAGTCTTGTTAGACTGCCATCTCCTAAGTAATTGTGCTAATGCTAACTGTCCTACTAGAAATACATTAGAGCGTTTACGTATGATATCCCAACAAAATCATAATATCTTCTATAAAAGACAGGATATACATATATATATTCGCTTCCTGCAAAAACAACTTTTGCTAGAGTCGCCATCTAGTGGAGGTGCTCTTTTAGTGCTTTCTTTTTTTTAATTAAACGGTTTTATTTAAAACTTCCTTATTGTGTTCAAAATGATTAATATGCGTGTCTTAGATATTATTATTTTATTTTGAAACTCACATCACTTATGCCACGAAACATTGTTACCAATTCAAGATTTATTTTTGCATTTTGTGCTATATAAACTTTCTATTTTTAAATGACGTCACGCGGCTGTTATTGAGACAAGACAAGAGACAATTTATGGGACTAAGTTACGGGACAATTTACGGGAAAGTACCTGCGACATGGGGACAAACACACGCAAATATTTCTTTAAGGGTCCTGCATTTTCTTTTAAAATATGAACCCCTAAAAAGACAGCTTTTGACGTCCAAAATAATAATTATGAACTTCACTAATAAAATTTGAAAACAACTAATATTAATTTCATTCAAGTTATTCGACTTCTGATTTCTATGATATGCTTTTTTACAATGAGCTAGAAATCAGATTAGTTGACTCTATATATAGATTATAATGAAAGGTGTGGTAATATTAAAGTGAAATAATCCCAGTATGAATTATTTCATAACACAGAACTCAATAACAGATAACTGAAGAGATGCATGTTCTTGTTACTACTAAAATATCTCAAGTACAAGTCTTAATGCCACAGTAAAAGTAAACACTATGAAGCATTCGAATAATCAATCTCATTAAAATTTCGTCGCTTCTACTTCGCTTCCCGTAGGTGAATTGATTTTTAAACTATTGGACCATATTTAATTTTTAATTAAAATTGGTCCAATAGTTTCGGGGCATATTCAACGCAAACAAAAAATCAAATCTTTCCTATTTAATATATTACTATAGGTATATACTTAACTCCTGTTGTTTAATTTATATTTCCGATTTATCCGTAGTACATCAAGCTACGTCATTGGCAATATGTCCTACTTATTTACTAAGCAACAAAACTTTCGTTAAGAAAAAAAATCGGGTAGATGCGAATTAAATTAAGTCGTGTTAGTTAGTCGATTCGATTTCGTGAAAATTGGTATGGAAGCCCTGTTAAATATTTGTTTTATTTTAATTTAATAATTTATTTTTAAAGTCAATATACATATACTTAAATATTTTGTGATTATTACAAGCGTCTACATGTTGCCGCTATCAATATCCAGGAAAAACGATAAAAAAAAATCACGTTTATTGTATGGGAACTCCCTTAACTATTTATTTTATATCGGTAATAGAAATGAAAACTTCATCTATCTATAACGGTACATAAAATACGGCCAGTAAAAAACGTAAGGACCGACGGACAGCCAAGTCTTAGTAACAGGGACCAATAATGTTGACGTTCTAGGAGTTTTCTTTCAAAATGGACTGTATTTGGTTCGATAAGACGTTGATCATAAGCTGACTCGCAAAAACTGTTTAGTAAATTCTAAACTCCAGTACAACAATAGTATTGTATTGGGTAAGTGTATATAGGTACACTTTTGTTGTTTCGCAAGTAGATACTATTCTTACGAGGTCAACTACTAATTACAGAACTCTTTATCTAGAAGTGCTTTACAGCAGTACAGTTCTGCTATTTTTTAAGTATTCATTGCATCTTAATATAATCTCAACTATTGGACTTCAGGTATATAATTCATTAGCAAATTGCAAGTAGCTGAAATTCTATTGAGATGCAATTATTACGTAAACATTAACAGAACTGGCCTACTGGTTGTATTTATCAACTGTGCGCCAACCTACTGATCAAAAGCTAGTTAAATATAAATATCTTCGATATGGATAACCGTTTGGCTTTGATAGCTCCTGTTTTCGTAACGAAATATAGATAAATGATAAAGTAATCTTTGATCTATTTGATAAAAATGATTAGGAAGTAGGTAAGTAGTAATTCAATATTTGCTTATTGAAAACGAGTAATTTACAGACCGTTTTTTTATGTTGTCCTACTTTAAAAATAATAACCGTTTTAGGTGTTACGCAAACGGGTTTCTAATTTTGATAAATGGTAACTTGTGAAGATTTTCATATAATTTCTAGAAGGACTCGCAAATTTAGCAATTCTAGTTACATGTGTTTTCATCGACTTCTGGCGATCATCTTCTACCCTAGTACTTGGGTGTTATATGTGACCAAAAATTGACTATCTCAAGCAATATTTTTTGAGCATGAGCTTTGGAAGGTGCTTTTATTAAGCTTTTGTTCCCGGTTGCATTTGAATTCGCTAACACCCACTAATACGCACTGAATCCGCGTAATAGATGCATGACCCAGCAAAGGAGACATTAATAGTTATAGCTAGTAATGTTGTATGTGGAAAAATTCTCATAAGATATCATAATGTTTAAAACGGTACATTTTTTAGTTTTTACTCTAGTATAAAACACACAACACAGCTGGATCTTCTTTATACAGCCATATCGAATGCGATAAATTATATAATCGCATATTTTCTGAGTAGATCATCAAATCGAGAGTGATCTCTCGACCTCAACGAATTTGCCGATCTAATAGTACAAGGGTTGTCACTAGCATGATAAATTAAAAGTTTAAATATTCAACTTAAAACCCAGTTTTTCAATTATTTTTGCAGATAGCAATAATCAATAAAATTCTTTTAGGGAAATAGGTGACTAGACACCTTATATTAAAAATAAAATAATATCTCATACTTCTGAATACATACAATAAAATTGAAGTGCCCTGGGCGTCAGTGTCAGAGGGGCGCCAAAAGCATGATAATATAATACAGATAAAAAATAAATTCATTCACATAGGCTACGATGAGACAGACATATTTCAAAGACCCTAAATTAAATAATATATTTTAAATTTGCCTCTTAAGAAAAGGGGTGTCAGGGTGCAAAATCAAGTTTCTGCCCCAGTTGAAAAAAGTTGTCACTCCGGGCCTGTATCGAGACTCGAACCTTGCAGTCGATTTAACTTATTTTTTCCTATACGTAAAGAAATAACATTTACTACCACTACTTCCTATAATTAAAATTGTCTAGCTTTAAGTGTATTATAAATGTTCAAAGAAATTTTGAATAAATACTATTATACTATACGATTATTATTAACTTTTTTGCTAACATTTTTGAAATTAAAATGTGTCAGCCCTACATATTCATTGAAACTTTCTACAATACAAGCGATTATAAATGAAGAGTCGCATTCGCAATGTATGTTGCGGACAATAAATAATGATACGCTCAAGTACACATCGAAAGCGTTTAGCTTTTTTTTCAAACACTAAACAATGGAACAATGAAAACGAGATCATCCTAATTTATTCATATGACATAAAAAATTGCGAGGGAGGAAAGTTATACTTCGAAAGAATGGTATCGCTCGCTTTGTGACAACGTAAGCTTATTATCATCACCATATTTTTTGTAGCGAAAAATTTTATGTCTCTAGTCTGTTAGTGTCTTCAATTTGAACTGTCATATAAATAAGTTATACTTCGTAACTGCCCATAAAAAGTTGTGTTTCTATGGTTAATGTATGTAGATCCCCCGACTATAATGAGAATTTTGTTTATCCAAGCCATAATATAATTTGTTTCTTTTATTTTTAGTTCGATTTTGGTAGTCGTGTTGTTTAATTTCCTCGAGAAATATCAATTTGTTTTCTAATCCTTAAAACATTAATCGAGTTAATTGAGACTTTTTGTAATATTATATAACAATCTACTAAAACTTTATTCTTTATCCAATAAGGTCATTTGTATTGAACTTAAAATAACAGTGATTAACGAAATTTGATTAATATTGTATGTACAACCTTGTTACGTTACTTCGCTAACATTTACCTTGTGCAATAATAGGTATGAAATATGAATAGATAATGAACAGACTTTAAGATAATTACTTTGCCATCAAAAATTGGTAAATCAATCTTCTGATTATTATATACCTTTGTTTCCAAATCTTTATTCGTAGAGTTGACAATGGTGATTAATTTCTCTTTGGAACTGACAAATTTGCCAAATAGTTGTGTACGAACATCATTTAGTGTAACCAGTGCTGTCCCGCTATAAACACAGCCTAGAACTCGGCAAATAGCGCAATGCTGTCAGTCAATTTTAGGTGATGTAATTTTCTTTGCTTGTGCCTGACAGTTATACAGAGAATTGTTCAGCTGCTTCTCATTGCTTCAGAAAGATGACGGGTCGCCTGATGAATTTGACTTTTAGATACTCATCGGTTACTCTATTTGCTTATCACCAAATATGTGCTAGTTCAATATATCACAAGGTCCACCTTTTTATTTTGACCGGCCATTTTGTTTTCAGAATGGTTAGTCATGCTCAACTCATATTTATCATAACAGCGAAATATAGATCTGTGAAACTATATTTAATTGTATAATACGGTGATATTATCTTAATCATATGATCTCACCACTGGTAACTTAACTAGTATTACAAGATAAAATCTTATCAACAAAATGATACATGCAATTGCAAGAGAACCCTCAGTCACTGCATCCGTTCTTACTACACAAGCA